AACACGTTGGTACCAAAATGAAATACGTAGCATGAGAACTAAGGTCAGAAGAGTAAAAAGAGTATACACATTTTTGTTTTTACGCTTAAGCGATAAAAACGCTGCACGCACATACGGTTGGCTGAGTGACCTTCGCGGAGAGCGCGAAAGTGTTAAGATATGGGCACCACACAACAGCTGCATATTCTAGCTTTGGCCTAACAAAAGTCATGAACAATTTCTTTAGTATATCACCATTCATGTATTTAAATGCAATTCTGAAGTTAGAAAGCATAGCATAGGCTCCTTGCACAATATTCTTTATGTGGTCCTCAGGTGATAGTTTTCTATCTAGAACCACCCCTAGATCTCTTTCTTTATCAGAATTCTTTAAAGATTTCTCACATAATATATAGGTTGTGTAGGGTCTATGTTCTCCTATTCCACATTCCATAACATGACATTTATTAACATTAAATTCCATTTGCCAAGTGGTGCTCCATCTACTTATTTTGTCCAGGTCTTCTTGAAGGGCATGACAATCATCTAAATTTCTTATCCTTCCTATTATCTTAGCATCATCAGCAAACATGTTCATATAATTCTGTATACCAACTGGTAGATCATTTATGTAGACAATAAACATCACTGGTGCAAGAACTGAACCCTGGGGTACTCCACTTGTGACATTTCTCCATTCCGATATATTGCCTCTGATTACTGCCCTCATTTTTCTATCAGTCAGAAAATTTTTCATCCATGATAGAAGCTTACCTGTCACCCCTCCAATATTTTCCAGTTTCCAGAACAACCTCTTATGTGGAACTCTGTCGAAAGCCTTTTTTAGGTCCAGATAGATGCAGTCAACCCAACCATCTCTTTCCTGTAATATCTCTGTGGCTCGATCATAGAAACTGAGTAAATTCGATACACAGGATCTTCCAGATCGAAAACCATACTGTCTGTCTGATATTATATCATTTCTCTCTAGGTGTTCTACCCATTTAGTTTTGATTAGTTTTTCCAATACTTTCACTATTACACTTGTCAATGATACAGGTCTATAATTGAGGGGGTCTTCCCTGCTGCCACTTTTGTAAATTGGAACTATGTTAGCCTGTTTCCACACGTCTGCTACGATTCCTGTACACAGGGATGCCTGAAAGATCAGGTGAAGTGGAATGCTGAGCTCAGATGCACATTCTCTCAGAACCCATGGTGAAACGCCATCTAGGCCAGCTGCTTTGTTCTTACCGAGCTCCTTGAGCATTTTTTCCACTTCGTCTCTAGACACCTCTATGTGCTCTATGTTGTTCTCTGGAATTCTTATTGTATCTGGTTTCGTAAAGATTTCATTTTGTACAAACACACTTTGGAACTTTTCGTTTAGTGTTTCACACATTTCCTTTTCATTTTCCGTGAATCTATTTCCCATTTTCAATCTCTGAATATTATCCTTTACCTGCAATTTGTTGTTTATGAATTTATAGAATAGACCTGGTTCTGTTTTACATTTGTCTGCAATCCTTTTTTCAAAATTTCTTTCTGCCTCTCTCCTCACTGCCGTGTAGTTGTTTCTCGCATCTTTGTATCGCTGGTATGTTTGGGGGTTCGGCCTCTTCCTGTATTGATTCCATTTTTGTGTCTTTTGGTCTCTAGCCCTCTCGCAATTTCTATTGAACCAATCCTGTTTCCTAGTTCTGCATCTCTGTTTTGGTATAAATTTTTTTGTGCCTTTATCATATATTTCACAAAACTTGACATACATCTCATTCACTTCCTTGCCTAGCATCAAGTCTGTCCAATTATACTCACTAAAAAAATTTCTAAGGTCACCATAATGTCCTCTCCTGAAGTCTGGTTTTTCAACTGCTTCAACCTCCTTATTTTCTTCCAGCTTATAACGCATTGCATACTTTATTCCCAAAAAGACATGGTCACTTTTACCCAAGGGAGGAAGGTACTGAATGTCAAATATCTCTTCCTCCTTCCTGGTAAATATCAAATCTAGCATGGAGGGAACATCCCCTTCCCTCATCCTCGTAGCTTGTTTAACATGTTGATACAAGAATGTTTCCAGGATGTGTGTGTGTGTGTGTGTGTGTGTGTACACATGTGCATGTATATGTGTACACTGTGTGTGCACATATGCACATGTGTATATGTGCATGTGCATACGCACGTGTGTGTAATACACTTTGTGTGTGTCTTTATATATACAGTATATGCTTTTTCTTTCGGAAGGGGCTCTGTTCCCTTCGCTGCTGAAGGAGCGCTGGGGGAGCAGCTTGCTCTGTTGACTCTCGCATGGTCCCGCAGTTAGTGGGCGTTTTTGGTTGTCTTCCGGCCTCTGGTGGTGGCGGACGGCTTCTTCCCCTTTGGGGGGTTCAGGGCTGGCTGGGTGGGCTTCTTCCCCTGCGCTTCGTTATGTCATCTTAGTGGGTGCGTTGGACATGATTGATCCGCCCCATCCTTCCGGGGTTCCCGTCTGCTTTATACAGATACAGGCCTGGCGGATCTGCAGTTCTTCTGGATTTGTTCAGTCTGCGCCCTGGATTCTATGCCCTCATTGGAGGTCTTGTTGGGGTCGGGTGCCTGGATGGTGGCCCTGGACCTCAAGGTCACTTCTTGGCACGTTCCTCTCCAGTTTTCTGGGGCTGGCACAGTTGGTGGTGGGGCTTCAGGCTTGCCGCTTTTGTTGCCTTCCCTAGTTTGTAAATGGCACTGGTGTATTTACACATCCTTATCGGATCTTGGTGCCCTGTCTGAATCTGCTTGGGATTCGGTGTCTGGCCTACCTTGACGACTGGCTGATGTGGGCTCCCAGTCAGACTGCTTGTCTGCTCGCCAGGGGTGTGGTTCTTTCCAGATCGCCGGGTTTGATTTCCTGGGGATCTGGAGGCTGTTCCTCTGTTTCCGTCCCGGGTTCAGACCTGGCTGTGTCTTGTTTAGGGCTCTTGGGCTGCTCCTTGTCTTTCCCTCCAAAAGTGTTGCTGCGGCTGGGGTCCCGCCTTCGGCTGTTTATGAGGGGGGTCCCGAGTTGCTCAGCGGTTGCTCGAGCAGTTGTGCAGGAGTCTGAACTTTGATGTGATGGTCTGCCCACACGGTCGGGTTTGGCTTCGTCGTCTGCTTGGTTCCTTCGGAGACTCCCCTTCCACCTCTCTTGCAATCGTTCGGTTCGTCCTCCGGGGATCTTGTGTTGGTGCTGCGTCACCAAGTTCCTCTTTGGGGTATTTGGGGTTCCGTGCCTCGGCACCTCCCCAAGCCTTCACTCGATATGTTTACGGACGGGTCATCTTTCGACTGGGGCTTTGTAACAAGTATTCACCAGGTCGTCCAGGGATGGTGGGGTCTGTCCGTCTGTCAGGCTCACAGCACGGTTCGGGAGTTCGTGGCTGTCTGGTTTGCGCTTCGGAGGTTTCGGGTCACTCGGTGCTCTACCATTCAGCTCCATTCGAACTGTTCTCTGGCGGTTCTTTGGCGGAACCACAGGGTTTCTCTTAGGTGCGCCTTGTTTTGTGCGGCGCTGGCGGAGCCGCTGCTGCTTGCGTAGAGGGTGGGCGTCACAACTGCCCCGTTAAGTACGCTTTCTCGTGTTTTGTTTCACCTCCGACCTGCTCATGCGTCGCCTAAGCTGTCCTGGTTCTTGATCAGGGTGCCCTCTTATCTTTTTCTCCTCAGTTTGTGGTAGCCCCTTCGGTTCAACTTTGGTTTTCATAGGCCATATTTTGTTGGCATGGGCCGCTGTGGGTCAGGTCGGGGAGCTTCCGGCTCTTGCGATGCAGAGGTTTCTGCTCTTTGGCACTGGTGGTAGGTTTGTACGTTTGCAGCCTTTCTCCGTCCTTCTGGTGACGGTCGAGACGGCTGCTTTCCGGAGTTGTCCTTGGGTTATTGATGCTTGATTGGTTCGGCCGTGAGTGCGTCCTGTGTTGTCCGGTTGCGCCTCTTTGCCGTTACCTGCGTACTGTGTCTGGGGATGCGCTTTAGGTTGATCCGGTTCCCCTCGTTCCCTGTTTTTAGGTCTCGGGTCTCCCAGGTCGTCCGCAGAGTTTTTCAGTCTTCCAGCCTGCGGTCTATCCTTGCGCTCGTGCTGTTCAGACGTTTGCAGCTTTTGCTGCTGTGTTGGTGACATCTAGGGCTCAATTCGGGCGTGAGGATTTAAGGGTCACACAGGTTCCTGTCTGCTCCTGTGCGTTCTTGTTGCCTTGGATCGCAGGTTGCATCCTGTTGTCTCTGCTTCGCGTTGCGAAGTTTGTGGTGGCCGCCTCCCGGGTCAGCCCTTTCTTTTCCTTCTCTTTGGGTATGAAGCTCCAGGGAGCCGTAGGGGCTCCCCACAGAAAACCAGCATTGAATGTAATGAAACGCCATTTTCTGGGTGAGCCCCGGAGGCTCCCTGGCAATCCTCCCTCCCACCAGTTGGCGTTTTTTTTTTTTTTTGCGTTGGTTGAAGCTTAGGTTCCGAACTAATGCTAGGCACCCGGCGTGGTAAGGTCCGTGGCCCCCCTTCCCCTCTCGGGGCGGGGAGGGCTGCACGGACGATCGGCATGGCAGTAAAGTGTGATGTTTGCTTGTTTCCTTGGGATTGTAGGGAGTTTCTACCTCTCTGTTCGGTTTTATGTTTTAGTTTTTTACCATGTGGGGTTTGTTTTGTTATGCCTACCTTTCTGGGTGCCTAACCCTAGTCGATGGCAGATAAGGAAAACCCCAACCTCAAGGGGGTTTTCCAGGGCCATTGCTCCCTGAAACCTCTCTGAAGGGGCTAGGTTCTGGCGCTGGTCCTTGGTAGGTCAGAACTCCTTAGCTAATGTCCCGGTCTAATATAACATACATTAGCCTGATAAGCTTCAGGGAGCCTCCGGGACTCGCCCAGAAAATGGCGTTTCATTACATTCAACGCTCGTTTTTTTTATAGAAAATCATAATGCATGTAACTTAATGTATGTTTATTATTCAGTAGGCTTGTGTATCTTATTTTAAATTTTTATTTCTATATAATAACATGTAATGTTTGTTTTTCTCAGGTGGTTAGCATTGACATTATTGGGCAGTTTGTAACGTCTGATCATGGTAATGCATTTGTAGCAGTTATCATTGACATGTTTACAAAATACACTATTGCTGTGCCTCTTAGAGATACAACAGTATCAGACTTGACATCTGTGCTACAAACAGCTGTATTTCAACAAGGACCACCAAGGAAGTTTGTATCTGATCAGAATGAAGACTTCATTAAAGAGGTAAATCTAAATTTTCACCATATAGCTGTTATGAGAAAGCTTGTCTGTATGGTTTGTATTTGTACACATAGTATCCTTTTATTTTATTTTAACAATCATAGTAATTAAAATATTTTAGTAACATTGACATCAGAAATGGAAACATTACATTATCATTACCCCATTTCCCAATTACCTGAGATCCTGAGCCTAGAGGCATGAATAATATAGCAAAAGAAAGTTTAAATATATTAAATTATATAAAGAATATTTTAAGGGTTTTTGGCTCCTTTCATGTTGGCTGCTCAGTACAGAGGGGTTTTCCGGCATTGTGGCTGGCACTGATGGGTGTTTGGATTCCTCCAGGCCGAGTGATTTGGCTCCTATGGTCTGTTCTTTGGGGTGTGGCATTGGGACTGGTAACATTGCTCGCTCGTTTGCTGAGTTCTCGTAGATGTTCTCCTAACATCTTCATGCCGTTCACTTCCAGGGGGTGTCCATTTTCCTGGCTGATGGTCTGTCCCGATTCCTTCCTCCTTCCACAGAATAGACCGTCGATGCCGATTCTTTCCTCTAGCTTTGCCGGGCATACCCAAATGTCGACTTCTTTGCGTTTGTATGGTCTCAGTGTCTGTCTCTTTACGCAGCGGGGTTTCCCAACTGCAAGGCCCTGATGGTGGATGCCTTTCAGCTGAACAGGTCGAGTTGGGGGTGCATTTACCCCTTTTTCCCGGTCCAACTGTTGCTCCGGGTGCTGGCGTGACTGGAGTCGTGCAGTGTACGAGTGATCATTCTGGCTCCTTGGTGGACAGCCCAGGCATGGTTATAGGCGTGGCTTGCTCGGTATCCAAACGCAGCCGTTTCTCCGTGACTCCGTCTCTTTCAGAGGGTCGGGCAGGTGATGTGATCACCACCAACCACCTGATAGAGATCAGGTGGTTGGTTGATGGTGTCACACCTGGGGCCAGATTCACGAAGCAGTTACGTGCGTACTTACGAATTTTTTTCTTCTTAGCATCTTCGTAGCGGCTACGTCGGTATTCAGGTAGGCATTTAAGAAGGAAAATCTTCATATGTACACCGCCTCAATTTAACCCTTAACCCTTACACTGCTCAGGGGTCCTTGGGACATTTACACCCCTGTGCGCAAGAAAAAAAAAAATTCAAAATTTTTTTTTCGTCTTCTAAACATGTTAATTTGTGTCCCCTGAGCACGGAAAAAATAAAAAAAAATCGTAGGTGACATATTTTGGGCGCAATTGACCGAGGTAGTCTGGCAAAAATTGGGCGTTGACAGAGTGGTCGTCAGACCCGGTCAGCGTCACCCGCGCTGACAGATGGGAGTTGCCACAAAGATATTATTACCTAATTGTTTCAATGTTTCCGATTGATTTTTTCTTAGTTTTTGCAGTAATATTATTCAATAGTGTTTATTGTAATATATTTATATAATAAAAGTGGTGAATAATCGCTATACTCAAAAGTATGATGTGCATATTAGTGATTCAATTATTATGTTTATAAAACAATAAACAAATAGTTTTGCTGCTATTACACTCTATACACAGGTTATATATAAGTATCTGCATGTTTTGGTCACCATAACGAACCACTAAGTTGGTATTGAGAGTCGAAAAGCAACGAAGAGTTACCGCCACACACCAGCCAGCCACTCGCTGCCACTCCCTCAACACACGCACTAAACTTTCTCCCCCAACAATACCATTTGTGGTGTTATTACACTATATACAGACATTATATATAAGTATGTATATATTTTGTTCACCACAACTGTATAGCTAAGCTGATATAGTTAGTTCAGGCACTAAGAGTCGTCGCTATACACAGATGGCTGCTCCCTCACTCTTTCAAGGTCACACGCACTAAACTTTCTCCCCCAACAATACCGTTTGCGGTGTTATTACACTATATACAGACGTTATATATAAGTATGTATATATTTTGTTCACCACAACTGTACAGCTAAGCTGATATAGTTAGTTCAGGCACTAAGAGTCGTCGCTACACGCAGATGGCGGCTGGCGGCTCCCTCACTCTTTCAAGGTCACACGCACTAAACTTTCTCCCCCAACAATACCTTTTGCAGTGTTATTACCCTATATACACATATTATATATAAATATCTACATGTTTTATGCACCGTAACTGTACACCTAAGCTTGTAGTGCGCCCAAAGAACATAGTGGCCACCCTCTAAACAGCTAGACAAATCGTGCAGACGACGTCGCCTCCGTCACCCATATGGCTCCTCCCAGCATAATCCTTTTGCTGTTATTACACTAATACACACATTATATATAAGTATCTACATTTGTGTTCACCATAGAGAACCACCAAGCTGGTATGGTGAATGCAAACAATAACAGGTGGCCACACAGTCAGTAAACGATGCTGTCTCCCTCCATCTCTCAGCATCACTCCTCACACAGTGCTAATTATTACAACAATCCTGCTATTATCACAACCCTGGTTATTTATATCACAGTCATGGGTCATCTGTAATATTGTCATCGCTAAATAATAACAATTATATATTTATTTAAACATTTTTCGGCGATGCTGTGGTCACAAGCTGAACAGCAATGCTGTTCGCTCATGCTGCGTGCGCCGGCCTTGGTTGCTCCAACAGTACTGTGCCTCTCACACCTGAGAATATTGCCCACGATTTTTTTTTTAAATAGCATCTGTTTACAAGAGCCCTGAGGAAGCTACTTTGAACCCCGTGTAGCTGTGGGCCATTTGAATGAGGCCTGGTACCCTATGGCATATATATACGCCATGCGCACCATGGGACATGTTACTCAGGGCGTATATATACGCCATGCGCAGTTTAAGGGTTAAATGGGGCATGGCTATATACTGATTGGCACCCACAGGCGCAAAAAAAAAAAAAAAAAAAAAAATCTTTCTAACCTGTTAAGTCGTGTTCCCTGATCATGGGAAAAATAAAATAAAAATTAAATTGTACTTTCCGGCGATTTAATTGTGCCGAGAATATGGATGATGACGTCACAGTTTGCATGTTCGCTCATGCACGGTGCGTCCTGGAGGCGTTGCGCGCGGTCTTCAAGCAGCCACAGTTGCCACAAATTTATTTTCGTGTCATTATTTACAGTGTTTACGCGTGTATTCTTTGCAATATTAGTCACTAATTATGTTGCACATAATGTCACTTGACAGTTATTGTCAATATATGTTGCACACATCGAGTATACACATGCGCACACAAACGTTTTCCATTACGGCATTATATTATGTAAACACAGATTTTTCTGAGGAATTTATAATGTTTTACATTTATGTGTTAGATATTCCATTATTATTCTAACTTTTACTAGTCTGTCTTGATTGTCTTTGGGAATGGCATTATTGTTACGAGTATGAAAATACTTAGGAATCATTATATATCGTCTCGCCGTCATAAAAGTATTGAAAGATGATACATTCTACAATTTGCCTGTTTGCCAGTACATACTCATCGTTGGCATCTTCACAATGCCCATCAACATTGTCAGTCCCAAATATTTGGCAAGCTTTTTTACATTCACTTCATCCCACTCATTGTTTGGTTATTAGAAGCATTGGAAGCATTGATGCATACAAGATGGTTTCATAGACAATAAATTTCATCAAATGTCGTGTAATAAAAAACTGTAAAAATCCTAGTGCTTGGTACTGGTAGAGTCAAGCCTGGTGTTACAGTAAAACTGTCAACAAATGGTGCAATGTTGTCAGTAAACCAGCTTCACCAGAACTGGTGCGTGGGGTACGTGCGGTACAAGTTCTAATAGCAGGGCCAGCACGTGTGGCGATATCAAAATCATCACCACCACTCCCCCCACTTTTAATTTTATCCTCACCTGCTGTTTCACTTTCAACCACCTCACTATCACTGTCACTTTCGGCACTTTCAAGATCAAGATCAGAAAATTCATCAACTAAAGCCTGGAATTTTGTTGGTGTGTGTTTCACTCTTCTGTACTTTTGGCAAACGCTACTTAGCTTTTCCCTCAGATGTGTTTCTTTCCCTGCTTTTGTCTTGGAATGGCTCTGTTCTTGATCACTATTCATCTTGGAGTAAATATAGAGAGTTTATAAAGGGAGTAACAAATATAGCCTAGGAAAAATAGCCGGCGCGGGCACACATTTGGTCATGAGGGAAGGAGGCAGCGGTTACGAAAGTGGTCACGAAAAATAATGGTCCTACCACGTGGGAGGCGGTGCCTTGATGCTACATGGGGCATCACAGAAAATTTGAAGACGATGACACTCATTTTAAAACATGTCCCATAATGATTGGAATAAAAATGTAATTTGAACACTTTGTGCAGCCCGGCGTGCTTGCCGGGCTGCACCACCCCAAGGTGGGCCTGGCATTTCCCGGGAGCGTGCACCCATACTAAAATATGTATACACTTTCCAGTGTTCTGACTTCAATTTCCATGCTACATCGTTCATTTTGGTATCAAATGGTTCACAATCAAAAGGCGCACATTTTAAAACTAGTAGCATAATAATAGAATAATAAATGGAATTTTAGCAAATATTTTAATTTTGGATGCTCATCACCACACAAGTATTTATAGTCTTTCCAGTGTTCTGACATCAATTGTCGTGCTACGTCGTTCATTTTGGTATCAAATTGTTCGCATTCTAAAGGCGTGCATTTTAAAACTAGTCCCATAATATTTGAACAATAAATGGAATTTTAACAAATATTTTAATTTTAGATGCAAAATGCGTCTCCGCCAAACAGCCGTAGAGTTAATTATGGCCGCGATATCTGTCGCTGCTGGACAAAAGTGTAAATAAATACTGTATTTTAATATCGGATGCAAGATGCATCCCTGGTCAGGATCTGTTGAGTTAAATACGGATGCATATTGCATCCCAGTAGGGACCTGACAGCTGAGTGGACAGCACTTCAGATTCGTAGTCCTGAGATTCCAGGTTCGATCCCCGGTGGAGGCGGAAACAAATGGGCACAGCTCCTTTCACCC